ATTGATTGTTTACTGTTTCTTGAAAGCGAATGTTATATCAGCTATAGACTTGCCAGCTTGTTGGTGTTCTTTGCGCACGCCACTTGGCAGAATTTTCAGATAGACCATAAGAGGGCATAATTATTCTAATGGGTCTATAACGCAGACGGCGGAATAACAGTAGCCGTGGTCAGACCGCGTCTCGGTGAAGATTCGTTCCCGGAAATGGCGCAACACGCGTCGTAAGGGCTGTCCAAAGAGAACACCGCGGAGTTTGAATTCTTCTAAACATTCTTCGACATTCAAAATACTTCCAAATTCACAGCATATGCCCTACTCGTAATTTCTTTTCTTTTTTTTCGCGAGGAGACGGCGAGGAGACGGACGCTGGCGCTGGAAAGTGCGGACGCGACGTCGAGCTGCGACGGACGGGCCGGACAGCGACCCTGGACGACGGCGTCCCCGTGACGCGGTGTGGACGACCACCGCTGGGACATGGAGCAGCTGGAGTGGCAGCGGACTTTCCCCGCCCTCGTTGACGACCGTTTCCTGATCCCGAAACCCCCCAGGCAATAAGTGAGTGAATAAACCCTTTTGCCGAGAGCGAGGCATTGCAGTGTCATGTTCATCCGGGGACAGGGTCTGAGGGAATCGGAGTTAGAAGCCCGCACAACACAGGTCGTCCTTCAAACGTGTCGCACTGGAACACAAAGGAGTTGTAGTGCAGTCAGTACGACTCAAACGCAAATGACTGAAAGAGTTTTGAGATGTTAGAACCAGGCACTATGGAGAATGTGCCATAGACGAGTTGCCGCAGCGACCAGCCATTGGCTGCAAGGTGCTCTCTGCCTATTTGTGCTTTATATTACGTCACAAACATTAAGAAAATGTTTTTTTGTGGTCTTTTAGTGTCCTTTGAGGTACGCCAACTTCAGGCTCAGAAAAACCAAATTCCTGAGTGGAGTATTAGATCCTAACATTTTCGGCTTAAATTATGCACTTAATCTAAAAGAACAACAACAACAATAAGGCTTTTCCAAAAGTTCTATAGAATTCATTTAACCTCCTACATTCAGTACCAGTGGTGTAGGTAAAACAGAAGAACACAATGGCAATCTATAACGTAGAGCGATCGAAGATTTTATCGATCCAGCAAATGCTCCCGCATCTGCAGGAGAGACGTCCTTGTGTGCTTTCCCCGGACGCCGTGTCCCTTAACGGCTTTGCAAACTCCTGCGCACCTCTCGCTCCTCGTAATTAGAGCCTGACGCGAAAAGAATTTCTAATTTTAAGCTTCACGCTCGGCTTCCTCCGATACGTGCTTTTTGACAAGAAAGGAAAGCGAACGCTGGGAACAGGCGAGAAGCACTCTGACGCAGGACGACCCGTCTTTCGGTCATCTGCCGCCAGGCTGGGCATTGATTATGCGCTGATCGAAGACGCGTCGATGTCCTCGAAGTTACGGACCATCGGTGATCCATTAACTACTTTTCGCGGGTCATACTGGCATACCGGAGAACTTTGTCACTCTTTCCTGCTTCATTTCACCCGCGCAGGTAATATCGAATTATTTGGAAAAGCTATTTGTAAGAAACAATGAAAACAAATACTAATTGTACCCAAGCATTTTTGCAGTATCCGGACCAGCTTATCGAAACATCGTGCGCAACGGGACCGACCGACTCGACTGTGGGTTGACGGTGGTTTAAAATCACTATCAGTGAGAGAAACGAGAAGGAGAAAACACACCCTTGACTCTCTCATCCTGACGCTACTTGGAAGACCCTAAGCGTAACGGCCACGATATTAGGCACTCCGCAAGACTCTCCTTGTTGCACTTTAATATAGTAAATAACCCGTACTAGTTCCTTTTATAAGAATGACAATGTGACTAATTTGATTTGCGTTGGATGTAAACAAATTCTTAGGATATAGAATTCTGTTTTTCCGTATTAAAATTAAAACACACAAGGAAGCGAATCCCTTTCCTACTCAGAACAAACACGCTTTCACGAGCAACACCGGTCATGATGAAGTATCGATGAACATGCTTCGGCATGTGTGCTGCTCCGAGCGGAGAAGCCGATCATAAATACCGCTCCGTACCGACCCTCGCAACAGCAGAGCGCGTGGCGGCGAAGCGTCGCCAGACCTCGGGTATTGTGTGCCCTCGGCGAAACGAACGGCTCGGCGCCGCAGCCCGGCGCCCGTGAGGCGACGAGGCCAACAAATGCGTGTAAGCAAACAGCGCGACAAGCGAGGACGACTGGCGGGCCCCACTCAGCGAGCCCCATTGAGCGCCGGACCTGGACGCTCTCTTCCGTACACAGACAAGTGGCTCTTTCGGACGGCGGCAAACCTCAGTCAATATTCATTTTGCGGCAGTATTCAAAGGAGAACGGTAAGAAGGACCTCTCCGAAAAGACTAAGGGTGTGTCGCGCCGGCTAATTAATCTCATCCTAATTACGGACGCCAGGAAATAATTAATTATCCGCGCTTGATGATGACGCAGTTCATTAGGAGAGGAGGAAATGAGCGCCTTCAGTTTTGCCCCGTCAACCTTAAAACACGCGCTGTCCTAACGACAAAAAAAAAAAAAAAAAAAAAAAAAAAACGGTATACCAAAGGACAACGCTCGCGTTAAGGGCAAAGAAAGAAGCGGAGAATACGAACCTCGATAAAAAGGGAAGCAAAAATGGCCGCGCTGGCGATGAAAGTGTCTGCCGCGAGCGTGCCGACAGCGCGGGCCTGGCGAACAATGTGTTCGAGTGCGGAGGAGTGGGTGCACCCACGCCCTGGGCTACTAAGCCCGCTTCGATTGGCACTGAATCGAACAAGCTATATGATAATGTTTTTCATCGGCTGCCTTCGATTTCTGCCGTCGGGATCGATTGGTTCAGAGCAGTTTGGGCAACTTTCCTCCCCGTTCTGATGTGGCCCTTCCACTTCCTCTACTTCTTCTTCGTTCAGTCTTCTCTCCCCCTCCAACTCGGGCTCGAAAATTGGGCTGAGCTGGGTGGTTCACTTAACGGAAGCTTAATGATTTGTGCGGACGCGAGAATCATTAAAAAGGGCATAAAGTTTTGCTTTTTTTTTTCTCGTCTTTTTAGCATATTTTTTTTACAATAACAAGCGCGAAGGGCCCTTCCGAAGAAACTAACATAAATACAAATCTTCATGAGGTTAAAAAATAAGAATAAGCGAGAAAACGAAAAGAGTAATAATAATCTCTAGATATAAAAAAAAAAAAGACAAGTGAAGCCCGGGATCCTTTCGGTTCTAACGACTCTGAAGCAGGGAACTAAAGAGAGAAAACACGTTAATGTTTTATGCTTGTGACGGTGCTTGGCAAAGTGTAAAGACGCTGGAAGGAGAAGCGCAAGCAACTCAGCCGCAATAATTTTGCTAATGTAACGTTCAGAGAGAAAAAAATTATACTTAACTCGAAAACAAATAAATAAAGGGGTAAAAAAAAGTGCCAACACGGAATTTGTTGCGGTAATACGGCGATAATTATTCCCTGTCCAGGGGATTTCTGCGAATGTTAAGCTGCATCTCATGTTAAGCCCAGTGATTACACCTTGTACAGCGCCCTTCATCAGTCTTGAATTTCAGCTTTTCTTCGATGTCGAACTCACCGAGGCTGAATATCGCGTCTCAGCTACTTCATTTTTGTGCATATTGAACTGACATCTGGCGAGTAGTATAGCACTCAAATTGGCAAAATGCCTTTCGAGCGGACATTCATTTTATGTTAATAATTTTCTACCCCAAGAGGGATGTCTTTGTTTCTTTGTGCTTGCAAGAATGAAATCCTTTCTGTATGCCTAAAAAATATTTAAAAAATGCTGTCGTGTTTAAAAACAAGAGGTGCGTTAGAAACAATGAAAGCGCGCGAAATTTGTTTTATATTTTTGCTTTAGGACTCTTATTAACTGCCGTAGACTGCACGTGTAGCGCGTGTAACTGCACTCCCAGCATGCTTTGTGGTGCTTGGCTAATTTAGCGGTGGTGTGGGTGAGAGAAACGTATTATATTTTCAAGGGACGAGACATATAAGCTTCTGTACATTAAGCTTTTGAGGATGTTATTTAAATTCTTGCAATGCTCATCTTCGGCACGCTCTCCAGGCGGCTCAAAACAAAATGATAGACAAAACTACTTGACCAAAAACACCCTATACTGTATGACCACTGGGCAATGAGGACTACTCAATTGCGCACGAGCTACGAAAAACGCTGCTTCGCGTCAGCTTACACCCCTAAATTATAAATACGCTCATTTTCAGGCCGCAGAAGTCTTTATTTTGAGCTTCGAATACAACGCTTCAACTACAGGTGTGATGTTGAAAGAAAACAGAATCGAGGGCTGGACAAGTACATTCCCGCTTTATGGTGTGCTTACACTTGCGAATTCGCGGGCGGATCCGCGACGGCGGTGAGTGGATTTTGGAGCCGGGTTGTCAAATCCGTTCTTTGCTGACGGAATATGTGGATCGGTCCGGGACTCATATCTAGATTTTCCGACGATGACGAGTCAATTTCGTCACCCGGCTCCAAAATCCGCAAATGCAAACGCAGCATTACTGCCGTATCGCGTGTCCCGTGCCCTCCCTTGAAGCGTCGGCCTGCCGAACAAGTGCCGAAAATTATACTCGTGCACTGTCATACCCTGACGGAGAACCATCATTCTTGGTAGTGATTAGCATCCTCTTATCTTCCATTTGTTTCTGTCATTGCCACTTGATGTTTTGATTTTTGAGTAGATTAAGTACGGCAGCTTCAGGTGCATGATTTGAAGAAGTCTATCGGGTGTATCACTCAAGCACGTCCTTGAGTCAAAATTAGGCTTGCATTTTGAAATGTGCAGACTCTGTCGACGTAGACCCAACGACGCGCCAATCAGATTTGCGCACGGCGGATGATAGCGCGCCCGTGTAGAATATGAGAGACTTTAAAAGTGGTGCCTCTTCAGCATCACTTCGGCGATTTCACTCGAACCGACATCACAGCTACGCACAATGGCCCGTACGAAGCAGACTGCCCGGAAATCAACCGGTGGCAAGGCGCCACGCAAGCAGCTCGCGACGAAAGCAGCGAGGAAATCTGCACCGGCCACGGGAGGAATAAAGAAGCCGCACCGCTACAGGCCAGGTTAGTAGCGCATATTCATTATGCTTTACATTTCTACGAGTTTCCGCCCTTCACGGGAAAAAGGCGCCGCCTACTTCGTAGCAAAACTCGATTTCGCCGTAGTCGTTGTGTGCTATTCGCTTTATATTGACAGCATATCTAGTTTGCGGTATTCCAGTATATCGTCGTTTTTCTTGGCACACGAAAAAGGGACGTGTTCAATGGCAATGACTAGCGATATGAGCTAATATGAGCCAGAAATGAGGAAACTGGGACCACGCCGTACAGGCCACGCGTTCTAGCATGGCAGCGACTGGAGGGTCCCAACGGCAGTCGAAGTGTTCAAACGTGTCTCCCGCCGACCGTGATATACCTCCCCAACACCCGGTGCACGCACGGTGGCCGTGCGATAGCGTGATTTGTACTGCCTGGTCGCCGCTTGCACGTTTTACAGCTCGTATCGCTGGCCACCATACGTACTTTCGTCCGATCCCACTTCATCGCGTGGTTTCGGTAGGGCTATCTGCCTTAAGGCATGTGGTCGACTCTTATGCCGTATTAACGCTGGCTGTTGAAACGCGTTCGCAAAGGGCTTGCGAACGCTGTTGAAACAACAGTGTGACTGTCGCTAAGAGTGTTCGCCTGAAGCAGCGCGACCAGTAATCAATGGACGTGCTTGCTGTCCTGTCGGTGCAAACAAGTTTCGGCTATTCGATCCAGTGGAGTGAGAAGGGTATCGGAAACCAGTGGGTCGGCACGTCTATCGCCGTGCCCATTTATTCAATGTCGCATTCCCTGTCTTCCCTGTAGTGGCCCGTAATAAGAGCTGGAAAGCGGAAGCGACGAATAACCTCAAAGCGGTAGCGACGGCTCATTTCGCCGGCCACTGCACCTGTCTTCGCTTAGTATGCGGTGCCCTCAGCGGCTCTCCCCGTCTGTCACTCCCATTCACTTCCGTGCCATGTCTACCCGTTGGCTGCTCCAACCTTTTTCTACGATCCTTGACTTTTCATTTTTGCAGGGACCGTAGCCCTCCGGGAAATCCGCCGGTACCAGAAGAGTACGGAGTTGCTCATACGCAAGCTCCCCTTCCAGCGGCTCGTCCGCGAGATTGCCCAGGACTTCAAGACTGACCTGCGGTTCCAGAGCTCCGCCGTCATGGCCATGCAAGAAGCCTGCGAGGCTTACCTCGTTTCACTCTTCGAGGACTGTAATCTGTGTGCGATCCATGCCAAGCGCGTCACTATCATGCCCAAAGACATGCAACTCGCTCGAAGAATTCGCGGAGAACGCTCATGATTGCCATATGAACTTCTCAACGCCGGTCGGCGTTTCACTGAGGTTTTGGGACCAATAAAGTTGATTTTAGTCTTGCCACATGCGCCTATTCTTCGTATTAACCATTATTTACCACACTTTCTTATATAAATTTTTTGCGTACATTTAGTTGTAGTGAACCACACCACGGGCCTACCCTTCGAGACCTGGCCTGGATAGGATGCCTCCCTGATCGAGCCTGGCCCGGCTGGAGGTGCCTCGACAATTGGAGATGTAGCACATTTCGGGCCAGCGAACTGTGCGTGCTATTCCGCCCCTCCAGACCCGCGGGCCAGGCCGGGCCCGAGCTTAAGGGTTGGGCCGGTCCGGTGCAGAGCTCCAGGTTATAGCACTTTTCTGCAAGTACTGAGGGTGTATTAAGTTACGTCGCCTTGTATAGTTGACACTTACGTCGCTTATTTGCATGGTTACGTAATAATCGTACGCGTACGCATAGTCGAAGGTAGGATAAAGGCCACGCGACCACGTACGGCCTTAAAAGTACCCAGTTATCTAAAAAAAAAAAAAAAATTTAAAACATCCTGCGACGAGAGCCTGGCGCCATATATCGGGTAGCCTTGGAACACTTCGCATTTCCGCATAGTTCCCGGCGCATAATTATGTATTTCTTGGCTCTAAAAGCTTTCGACAGTGTTATAATCAGTCTTGTGCACGTTAAGAAAAAAAATTAATCGATTACTATTACTCGTGGCTAAAATGTATTCGATTATATTACTTGATTACTCGGCAGTAAAAGTAATTGGACATTACTTTAAGAAATAACCGTTACTATTCCGATTACTTTATTGTGTGAAGACTGACATCTTTAGCGCTCATAACAATGAACTACTTCCAACCTCGAAACATTGCTTGTCACAAAGACCACGTAGGGGAAATACGGGATCTTGACGTGTACTTGAACTGGCTTTGTTACATTTTGCATCCGCTTTAGGCATTCTTCGGTTTTGTTTCTGCTATGGGCTGCGACTAGGTACCGTAAGCAGAATTGTCTTTTTAGATGCGGAGCATCTCTTGCTCGGGTCTATGTCCCGCGGCGTCGTAGTCCGCACTCACACTACGCATGCGCAACTCTCCTCCTTCCCTCTCTCCAACAGCTGCGCGTTACTCTCTCCGCTCTCTCTCTCTACCAGCTGCGTGCACTTCGGGTGCGTTCGCTTCTACTCACACCGCGCGCGCATGCGCAACTCTCCTCCTCTAGTCTTCTCTCCTTCAAGTGTGAATATAAGCAGCAGTAGTGCGCTGCGCGCCTTCAGTTCACCGCTGTTAAGTCCACTTCACTCCGTTCTTCCGATGAAGTGTGATGGAAGCAACAGTCCCGTCAGTTAGTGGGTTGGCGCAAGCAAGCGTCAGCACCACCTCACAAACTAACAGCGACGCTACGTCCACTGAAGACAAAGCTGCGCTGCGAAGGGCACGCGACGCTGAGCGCAAACGCTTGAAGCGAGCGGCAGACCCTGAACTACGGCAACGAGAAGCGGCGTCCATTCGTCAACGTCGAGCGGCGGATGCTGAACTACGACAACGTGAAGCAGCGGCGGTTCGCGATGCTCCGCATCACCCCATGGTTCCCCTCGGGAATATGGTGTAATTTTTTTTTATGTGTCTGCGGGATATGAGGGGGCTTAGTTGAACAAAGGACTTACAAAGCTACATTCTGCTCCCTCAAACTCCGCCCTGAATAACCTTTGTCATGCACTGGGGCTTTCCTGGGGCTTCCCAATCCCAGTCCCAGCTCAAAAAAAAAAAAAACATTCCAAGGAAACTATACAAATGGGTTGACCTCGTTTCCTACAGATCCGCAAATCTTTCTTCTTTTTTTTTTTCTGTTCGGAAAAAGCAAATTTTATTTCTGTCACTTCAGAAAAGGTGTGTCCGGGGATGGGGGGGGGGGGGGGGGGTCCGTGGAAAAATAGTAACGAGTTGAAGTAATTTTTATTACTTCAAAAAGTAATCAGATTACTCTTATGATTACCACCTAATAAAAGTAATCAACTGATTACAAAATTACTAAAAAAATTAATTGATTACAAGTAATTTGATTACTTGTAATGCGTACGGTACAAGTCTGGTTATAATCGACTTTTTCTCATAGATACGTATATTTGCTCTCGCAAGTATAGCGAAACCTATACTCAATATTTCGTTTCACCTTAAGTCCAGACGCAGTCGACGCTACGAGTTGATGGAACCAATCAGACAGCATCAAAAGCCTACCATCATGGTGTTCTTCGTGCATTGTACGTGTTCTGTCATCGCTGAACCAATCATAAACAGAAAAGGCCTGTAGTAACCTGCGCTTTTGACGCTGCTTGATAGGTCCCGCTACATCGTAGCGTCGGCTGCGTCTGGACTTGAGCTCAAACGAAATACAGGTAAATCTCCATGTCGTTTAATTACAGTGTACAGTCGCGATCCGCTCTCTACTGTCAGCGTCATGAAACGGCGGCCGTGATGGCGTGCGCGCTTTGTGAACCAACCGTGGAAGATGACGCGCGCAAACCGCCACGGCTTCCACTACATGACGCTACCAGGAACGCTCGGACATCGCGGGTTCATCAGCATGTCAATCACTACTTTTAACATGAAACGTTCTTTGACTAGTTGTTCAGCATTTTGTGAAGCCTGATAAGCAACGAAGCAATGGTTAGGGTGCAGGCTAGCTGGAGGACATTGAACATTTTGGTACGCCCGAGACAGGGGAAAGAAGGACAAGGACGGAAACAGAACCGGTAGGGGCAAGTCTCAAAATGCAGCTAAAACACTATTTCACAGAAAGATATATAGGCCACCGGCCACCTACGGTTTTGTTCCCTCCCTCACCTGGCCTCTCCCTTTTCCGCTTCTTTCCTCAAGCCCCGTATGATCCAAGTTGGCCTAAAGACTGGAAATACCACCTCCTCTTCAACAAGGGACGAGACAGACCCCCGCGTCAACATGCTAACGCTCAGACAGCGAGAGTCAAACCAGCTCCGTTAGACCAGAAAGCCGTAAGAATCTGGCTGCCTCGGTGTCCAGGCTATTGCGAGGGTGATTGATGTTTACGATCCACCTGCTTTTGTCGATCAGGCACTGGAACGCATGAAAATCTAATGAAAAGTGATTGCCCACTTGAGAAAATGAACTTTCTGGATGTGCATAGGGTTGAAAGAGGAGTCCTTTTGGCTACTGCAGACGGATGAGACAGGAAGTCTTTATTTTCTTCTGTTCCCAATTTCAGAGAGAAAGCAGAGTGCATAATGGAAGGCCTTTTCACTCAAATCCATCAGAACGTTACAAGGGTGAAAGGAATGATTTGCAAAGAACTTAAAAGAGGCTTAATTTAACCAACTGGTAGGCAGAATCAAAGGCGCTCACAGTTTGGAATAAAATATCGTTTTTTTTTCCTATAAAAAAAACAAAAAAACAAACAAACAGATTACAAACTGTTGATGCCTTTGCCAGCCGTGATCGACGAAAGTGGAACTTGGAAAAATGTTGTGTCGGGGATTATTCAGAACTGTTTTTTGGTTGTGCTTTTGGAGAACACTTTGTCGTTCAGGCATGCGGAGAAACTGATCGAAACTTTGAGGGCACACCATGGCGGGCATCGGTTTGTGTTTTCTATGGATATCAAGGACCTGGACTACTCCTTGGAGAAGAAAATCCTAATGACGAGTCAAAGAGCATCTGAAGCAAAATCTTGTCAAGTTCCAGTCCGGGGCAGGAATTTCGGTTGACAGTTTTTTGAACATTCTAGACCTCTATTTGCAATCGACGGTAGTTGAGTATAGTAAACGTAAGTTCCTGCAAAAAGAGGGTGTATGTATTGGCTCAGCTGTAGCGCCGATTTTGTCGGAGATCTATTTGAACGTTCTAGATTCCAGGGTTTTGAATTTTCTTGGGGGATCGCTGAAACGGTGGACTTTGTTCGGCATTACGTTGATGACATTTTGGTTTGCATCACTCACGAAGAGTTAATAAAAGATCTGGAGCTAACAGTGAGGAATGCCGCTCCAGAGTTGGAGTTAACGGTCGAAAGGGCAAAAGATGGGAACTTACGGTTTCTAGACCTACATAACCATGTCACAGATGGATTTTGCTGGAATACGAAAAGCTGAGGCCGAAAACTATCCTTCCGCGCTCGAGTTGCCATTAAAAAACTGTTAAATGCGGCATTATAAGATCGTTGATCGGTAACGCTTTAAACCGGCCATGTGACTACTACGTGAGTAGGGCCCTAGACAATCAGTTGGGTCAAATAAAGGAAGATCCCAGGGTGGATCGTCAGGAAATGCGTTAGCATGACCCATGAGAAACGCCACACACACCCCCCTTTGGGAAACGCTAACGCTGACCCCTTCACTTTCTCTTTTGGCTTTCTGTTTTCATTTCATTTCATTTATTGTACCTTAAGGGCCCGTGAGGGCATTACATAAGGTTGGAGGGGATCATTCAAATTGTACATGGGAAAAACAGACACAAAAATAAATACATTCAGGAGAAGCTCGGTAATTGGTTTACCAACATGAAAAGTACGATTGAAGACTTGATTTAAAGGCGTCTGGGTCTGCGATGGTGACGATGGAGGATGGGAGACTGTTCCAGTCATTGATGGCTTGTGGGAGGAAAGATCGGTTGAAAGCGTTTGTTGAGCCAGAGATCCTTTTGATGGTACAGGCATTGTTTAAGCGAGATTATGTTTGATCGGCAGGTGATAATAATGCTGTTTTAAGGTCGAGACAGTCATAATAGATTTTGTGAAGAAGGCAGAGCTGAGAGACGTTCTTGCAAAGCTGCAGAGAAGAAAAATAACCGCATCTCCACGTGGTGAATGATGTTGTTTGGGGTGAAGCTCTGGTGGTGTTAATGAAACAGATTTTGTTCATAAGTAGTGCTGATGGTGCTGATTTTTTTTATTGCTCATAGGTAGTGCTGAGTTCCGGGTTGCGTTTCGACTTCATTATTACAGCTTTGTGGTCGGT